CTTGTCTGGGGTAGACCAGACGAGGAAAAGAGCAGTGGGGTCACGGAAGCAGCTGGGAGAGGTCAAACATCTTACCTCTCCCCAAGACCAACCAAGACAACTAGCTGGTCGCCCAAGGTATAGTTGCTATTGTTAAGTATAGAAATAGTCTCATTTGCCACTCAGGTCAAGTAGGGAGTGTTAAAGTGATAGGGAGTGAACCTATTTAGATTTTGTTTTAGTTTTCTTTTAATAAATTAAATTTGTTATTAATTTGCATTTTATTGTTTCCATGTGTTTTATGTGTATACTTGTCCTGGTCACGTGGTCCACACGAGGCAGAGTTGCATTGGGCGCCGATTCTAACATCGAATCGGAATTATCATTACCGTGTAATTTATTCCACACTCAAGGTCATCGTTTATAGTGGGGATCAAGCCCCAAGGTTGATTAATTAGCGTGATCGATCCAGACCTCGATCATTGCTCTTGTATTACTGGTCTGGTGGTGGCAGCAGAGGTGACTCTAGGGTTTTGTTCAGAGCTTAGGTCACGTCATACTGGGTGTAGAATCCTAAGTCGGTCAATCGTCTTAGGACCACGTGGCGTGGAGTTGGCTTTGTTAAAAGTTTTGGAGTCCCTTGGTTTAGAAATAAAAGTAAGAATACGGGTAGAGGGAGTAGAAAGAAGGAAGTAAAGAGAGAGGAACCCAAACCCGTGTTACAGGAACAAGTTAGGTGAGAAGGTGGTGGAGGCCAAGACCGTCAGTAGTTTCAAATCGTTACATGACAGAGTGCTGGGAAGACGGGACACCACGAGCATAGTTCTTATCCTGTAACTACACTTGGGTAATAACACTTTGGTAATAACTCCAGCACAGCTGCTCGAACAACCGACGAGTGACCCGAGTGCGCTCCAAAAAACAGTCAAAGGCGGGATTGCAGACTCAACTATGCTGCAGGAGGGAGAGAAGGAAATAGTCCAAGAGTCCCAGGTAAACCTGAACGACCGTTGTCAACTCACGCCATTCAAGAGCACGAGTCTGACAGAAACGAATGCCAAGCCCCCAACGAAAAGAAAGGGCAGTCTGCCAACTACGAAGACTCTGGACCCTTGTAACACCCAGTATGGAAAAAAAAGGAGCCAACTCAAAAGAAGAATCCATTATCGAGCCATAATCCGGGTCTCGCAGGAGGTAAACCGCAATGGCCTCCCACACTTCCCTCGGTGGGATGCCGAAAACCTCTGAAAAGAAGGAACCGAATAACCCAAGGGAACCCCGGTACCAAATTCGGGGAGGAGTCGTACTCTTATCAAAATCGTATAGAGTGGGGGGGGGATACAAAAATCCCTCCCTTGTAACAACACCAGGGTTCGTATCCTGGCTGGGGAGGATTTACTGGGAGCAAATCTTTAACTGTAATTCTGTTTAACGCAATAGTAAAATGTGTACTTGGTTGTAACAACGATTCTTTGCGGCGGGGATCGTATTCCAGGGACCTGCCCGAAACGCTGTGCGTACTAGTGGCTGTACAAGAATGTAACAACTCTTGTATATATCTATAAAAAAAAAAAGCCCGGCACTAAGGGTACCAACACCCAAGCGTGGTCAAACGGGGCACAAGCACCCTCAAGTCAACTCCTCTCCAGCTCCGAGATCCTCCCCGTCAGGAACCAGGGTTGAGCTGTCCTCCGAACCCTTTGCCTCTATAGAAACAGCAGAGTCCACCAGAAAAACAGGGATGAAGGGGGGCCCACTGACACGACCCAAAAGCTTCGGAAGGAGGAACATGCCCGAATGCCTCTGCAGGCGATCCGGAAGGGGCAATCCCCCGAGTCTCACAACCAGGCAAACCCTGCTCTGACTCTGAAACCCTCAGATGGTTGGGGAGCTGAGAGTAGCATGAATAACAGCAGGGGGAAGGACTAAGGGGCACGAACGAAACCAAAGTCGAGGTCCCTATAACCAAAACGGGGAAGCTGCAGGACATCTGGAAAGGCAAGCAACCTCGCACGTTGCCACAACCTAAACGCACATGCAACGCTGAAACTACTTGCACCCGAATATCAATCTCGATGGACAGGGTGAATTTGAGTACAAGCAAGGAACACCACTCACAGGAGTCTCTGTCAAAGGTGTCACTGACCCAACAGGCAGCATGGAGGAGGCGTGCCTCCTCCATGCTGCCTCCGTCCACAGGGTTGTGGGCCTCTGCCCCACAACCCAGTGCGACCCCCCCCGCCCCCACAACCCAGTGCGACCTCCCCCCGCCCCCACAACCCAGTGCGACCCCCCCCCCCAACAACCCAGTGCGACCTCCCCTTTCCCCCGCCCCCACAACCCAGTGCGACCCCCACCCCCCGCCCCCACAACCCAGTGCGACCCCCCCTCCCGCCCCCACAACCCAGTGCGACCCCCCCCGCCCGCCCCCACAACCCAGTGCGACCCCCCCTCCCGCCCCCACAACCCAGTGCGACCCCCCCTCCCGCCCCCACAACCCAGTGCGACCCCCCCTCCCGCCCCCACAACCCAGTGAGACCCCCCCTCCCGCCCCCACAACCCAGTGCACAACCCAGTGCCGACCCCCCCCACCTCCACAACCCAGTGCGACCCCCCCCCCCCCCACAACCCAGTGCGACCTCCCCCCGCCCCCACAACCCCGTGCGACCTCCCCCGCCCCGACAACCCAGTGCGACCCCCCTCCCGCCCCCACAACCCAGTGCCGACCCCCCCCCCCCCCCACCTCCACAACCCAGTCCGACCCCCCCCCCCCCCCACCTCCACAACCCAGTCCGACCACCCCCCCACCTCCACAACCCAGTCCGACCCCCCCCCCGCCCCCACAACCCAGTGCGACCCCCCCTCCCGCCCCCACAACCCAGTCCGACCCCCCCCCACCTCCACAACCCAGTGCGACCCCCCTCCCGCCCCCACAACCCAGTGCCGACCCCCCCCCCCCACCTCCACAACCCAGTCCGACCCCCCCCCCACCTCCACAACCCAGTCCGACCACCCCCCCACCTCCACAACCCAGTCCGACCCCCCCCCCGCCCCCACAACCCAGTGCGACCCCCCCTCCCGCCCCCACAACCCAGTCCGACCCCCCCCCCCCCCACCTCCACAACCCAGTCCGACCCCCCCCCCCCCGCCTCCACAACCCAGTGCGACCCCCCCCCCCAAACCCAGTGCGACCCCCCCCCCAAAACCCAGTGCAACCTTCCCCCGCCCCCACAACCCAGTGTGACCCCCCCACCCCGCCCCCACAACCCAGTGTGACCCCCCACGCCACCCCCACAACCCAGTGTGACCCCCACCCCGCCCCCACAACCCAGTGTGACCCCCCCCCCACCCCGCCCCCACAACCCAGTGTGACCCCCCACCCCGCCCCCACAACCCAGTGTGACCCCCCCACCCCGCCCCCACAACCCAGTGTGACCCCCCACCCCGCCCCCACAACCCAGTGTGACCCCCCACCCCGCCCCCACAACCCAGTGTGACCCCCCCCCCCACCCCGCCCCCACAACCCAGTGTGACCCCCCACCCCGCCCCCACACCCACAACCCAGTGTGACCCCCCACCCCGCCCCCACAACCCAGTGTGACCCCCCCCCCCACAACCCAGTGCGACCCCCCGCCCCACAACCCTGTGCGACCCCCCGCCCCACAACCCAGTGCGACCCCCCGCCCCACAACCCAGTGCGACCCCCCGCCCCACAACCCTGTATCCCCCTGTATCCCCTGTCCTCCGTCCCACAACCCTGTGCGACCCCCCTATCCTCCGTCCCACAACCCTGTGCGACCCCCCTGTCCTCCATCCCACAACCCTGTGCGACCCCCCTGTCCTCCGTCCCACAACCCTGTGCGACCCCCCTATCCTCCGTCCCACAACCCTGTGCGACCCCCCGCCGTCCGTCCCACAACCCTGTGTGCCCCCAGTCCCACAACCCTGTGCGACCCCCCCGTCCTCTGTCCCACAACCCTGTGTGCCCCCCCACCCCAAAACCCAGTGCGACCCCCCGCACTCCGTCCCACATCCCTGTGCAACCCCCTCGCTCTCCGTCCCACAACCCTGTGCGACCCCCCCCCTGCCCTCCATCCCACAACCCTGTGCAATCCCCCCCCCCTGCCCTCCGTCCCACAACCCTGTGCGACCCCCCCCCCACCCTCCGTCCTACAACACTGTGCGACTCCCCCCCCCCCCCGCCCTCCGTCCCACAACCCTGTATCCCCCACCTCAACCCTGCACCCCTCGCTCTCCATCCCACAACTCTTCCCCCCCCCTGCCCTCCATCCCACAACCCTACCCCACACCCTGCCCTCCATCCCACAACCCTACCCCACCCTCCTGCCCTCCATCCCACACCCTGCCCTCCATCCCACAACCCTACCCCACCCTCCTGCCCTCCATCCCACACCCTGCCCTCCATCCCACACCCTGCCCTCCATCCCACAACCCTACCCCACCCCCTGCCCTCCATCCCACAACCCTACCCCACACCCTGCCCTCCATCCCACAACCCTACCCCACCCCCTGCCCTCCATCCCACAACCCTACCCCACCCCCTGCCCTCCATCCCACAACCCTACCCCACACCCTGCCCTCCATCCCACAACCCTACCCCACACCCTGCCCTCCATCCCACAACCCTACCCCACACCCTGCCCTCCATCCCACAACCCTACCCCACACCCTGCCCTCCATCCCACACCCTGCCCTCCATCCCACAACCCTACCCCACACCCTGCCCTCCATCCCACACCCTGCCCTCCATCCCACAACCCTACCCCACACCCTGCCCTCTATCCCACAACCCTACCCCACCCCCGTGCCCTCCATCCCACACCCTGCCCTCCATCCCACAACCCTACCCCACACCCTGCCCTCCATCCCATCACCCTACCCCACCCCCTGCTCTCCATCCCACAACCCTACCCCACCCCCTGCTCTCCATTCCACAACACTACCCCCCCCCCCGTCCTCCGTCCCACAACACTATTCTTCCTATTCTCCACAACACTCACCCATCAAATTGTTTGCCTCCTGTAGTGCTTCCTTGCCCTTTGTCAGGACATCAACCTCCCACCACGTCTGGGTGGCAGCCTCCTGCGTGAGGCTCTCTAGGGGCGTCTCGTACTCTTGCTGTGTCATTGGGTCATGCAGGGCTGCCACTAACTGGGGAACAATTGGAAAAATTAGGCTAATGGTTATTAACTTCACTACAGTTTTAACAAAAGTACTGAAGGTGGTAATTAAATGTATCACTTACGCTTGGTAATCTGAATGACTGTACAGGTATATCGGACCACCCCCATTCACATTAACAAAATTTGATGTTGCCTTGCTAGTAATGTCCATAAATGAACAGGCAATTTTTTTTGTTTGTGTTTTACTTTTGAATGCTGCCACAGCTTACTTATAATTAATGAATTCCTTCAGGTTAATGAGACTCACATTACCTTACACGACATTCAAAACTAAAATTTCTCAATGCAAAATCTCATTTAAATAATTTAATCATTTCATAAACACAAGGTAAACCAAAAAAGTACCATTTCATAATTTACTGAAATTTGTTAATTCTATCAAATGACAAATTTCCACCACAAGATTGTCATGTACAGAAACGGCAACTGTACAGTTCACAACTATTCTGATGGCTTCCTACCCTATCACGAACCAGTTGCCAAAGCCAACCCAAGTACAGTACTGTATTGTAAAAATAAAAATAGTCGAGTGTCCCAAATCATGAAGGCAGATATCGGCAGCTGTATAAAGCACTTGGAATACCCGTGAAAAAATTATGTCATTGTATGAAGCAGCCACCCAAATGCAATAAAATACTGTATTAATTTAAAATGTTACTCGAATGATTTGCAGGATGAAAGCTATACTTTCCACTCTACATAGCTTGCCAAACAAACATTTTTAATACAGATAATTAAATTTAGATGTATTACTTTTGCCAGCCTGCAACATTATTGTGTGTATAGAACCTGGTACTATTATTTCCAAACCACCCATCAGAAAATGAAGGAACATCATTTCTTCATTTTCTGATAATGCGGTTTGGCTATCTTAACTTAAGCCACATTATTGTGACTCACAGTCTGCACCTGGCATTACAGATCTCCTTTATTAAAAATATGTTAGTAAAGAAAAAACCTACAAATCCTTAATGGAGATAATTAAGTCAATAACATGCCTGAAAACATACTGCAATCATGAAATGAAAAATTTCATTTCAGTCCATCCTTCATGAGGTCACAAAATTGACAAATAGTCCCTTTTCCTTCAAATGGTGTATACCTGGTGTGCATTCTGGTAGTAGTTCTATCCTTCGAGCCCGAACTGGGACCAGGCCCTACTTGTGATAACTGTCAGAGAGGCTTTTAATCCTTTACTATATAATGCTAAATACTGTAAGCAAAGAGGCCTCTAGATTTATTATAAACCCACTACAGATTGACCTGAACTATGTATAACTATTTGGTTTGAACACTTTCAAGAAACTGTATTAATAACAGGGTTTTGCAAAACACTCCCCCTCACTACCATTACTCCCACCATCACTAAACTGATGTACTAAAATTGCCCAAACTTAACCCGAGGAGCCTCGGCTGGAAAACAGGATATACGTCAATTTTACAAGCCCCTATGATTTTTAGTTCATCAGTTTTTGGCCATTGAAGAATTTTATGTCAAAATGCAATGTACCGTTCAAGACAACAAGTTGGTATATTTATACAGTAATATTCAATTTACTTTTCTACCAATATTTATGCAGATTGAACTATAGAAATTGAAAAGATCATTGAAACAATAATAGTGTGTTAGTGTTGAAACATTAGTACATAAGCAGATCAATTATGATAATTAAGACCCTCAATTTTTTTTTTTACTTTGCCAAAAGGGAAATTTAGTTTACTTAGGGAGGTAAATTGCTTCCAGTTTCTAGTTTAATGTAAAACTATATTCTTTAATGTTAAACTATACAGTATTAGTTTTAATTACAACTATATAAAGTATATTCATATTCTATTCTATATAAAACTAAATTGTAGTAAACTATAATTTTATTTAACATCACTTAAAACATCGTGCACCTCCAAGGTCACCATCAGACCAAGGCTCACTAGCTGCATACTGATTATATACAACTACTGGTACATATTTGGATTTTTACACCACTGCATGCACCTTTCAATTTGCTTACAGTCAAAAGTACTTGCGAACATCTGAGAAATTCTGGGAATGAAACTTAATCTTTCTTGAAAATATGGAAAATGATGAAGTCAATTTCTTTTGTACCAGCAGATATAGAACGGCTTTGAAATTTGGAAGTGTACATTTTATTTAGGACATCTGAATTCAGCAATGGCAACTACACCTCCCAAATTCCCTCAAAAGTATCATTCATGAATGGTACAGGTTATATTAAATCTTACCAACCTTTTTCCTTTTCTCAGGGTCAAACTTTCCCTTAACAGTAACCAAATAACGGTGGGCTCGTTCTACCCTTTTCACAGATGTCAACCCCATTGCCTGGCATATGCTGACTGCGTTGGTGCTCCAGGCAGTTGTGAAATTCAATCTGTAATAGCATATATTGTGGTACATATTCTAAATATTAAAAACAAAAAACAAACCAGCGTTGAATGTAATGAAACGCCATTTTCTGGGCGAGTCCCGTTGGCTCCCCGGAGCTATCCAGGCTGAATGGATATGTATAACTTTCTGGCATCAGTCAAAGTGCTAGGAGTTCTTGCCTACCGGGGACCACAAGCCAGAACCTGGCCCCCTCAGAGAGGCACGAGGAGCCTATAGAAACCTCTTTGTGATTGGAAGCATTCTATGTCTGCCATCGACCGGGACAGGCACCCAGAAAGGTAGGCGCCCCAAAACAAACCCCTATCCTGTTGAAATTATTGCTACCGAAAGCCGAACGAGTGGACAAGACTCCCCAAACAAAATTATCAAACTAGCATGACGTCATCACGTCGCCGCGCCACCGTCTGCGCAACCCCCTCCCCGAGAGGGGGAAGGGGGAGCCCCAGACCCTCCACGCCGGCGATCCAACTGGCAGTTCTTAGGCTGGATGTCAAATACGCGAAAAACGCCGCCGACCGGAGGGAGGACGGGATGCCGGGGAGCCTCCGGGACTCGCCCAGAAAATGGCGTTTCATTACATTCAACGCTGGTTTTCTGGGGGGAGCCCCGTCGGCTCCCCGGAGCTACCTCCCCAAAGATAAGTAAAACATGGAACTGGGAGGCGGATACCACACGTCCTAACTGAATAACCAAAACCAGAAACAAAAAGACCAAAACGAGAAGAAAAAGACCACCCAGGCCAACGACCAGGACGGCCCCAAAACTCAAGAGCAGGCCAGAGGGGAACAACGCCCAGGACAGCAAGTGGAATGGAGCAGAAGGAACCGCAACACTGAACGCAAGAAGGCGCAGCTCTGCCAGCACCACCCAACATGAGGTGACAGGACAATCCCAGACGACGGTCCCAGAACAACCCTGAAGGGAATACAAGCCAACCCTATCAAAGACCGAAGGACCCTTCGCAATGATAGAAAAACCACACACTGCCCCCCCGAGACGAAACACGCAGGTGGGAGACCAATAACCTGGTCCCAATAACCTGGGACCTGTGTTCAGATTCGCAAAACGCGAAGCTAAAAACAGTGACTCCGCAACCCAAAGGAGCAATATAACCAGCTCCAGCAGGGAAGAATGAGACACGCATCCCCGAGGCATCCAAGAGGATAACTACCGAGGACGAGAACCGCAGGAAAGCAAAAACACCCGGTCCGGAAAAGGAACAAAGAATAACCAAAACCAGGACCGGAACCCAGCAAACCCGGTTCCAAGAAAAGGAACCAGGAAAGCAGGAGCGGCAGACCGAAAAGTCCACACCCCCCCACAGACAGCGCAACCCGAAGCCTGCAGAAAACCACACAGAAATCGCAGGAACTCGGTATCAAAACGGAACACTGGAGAAGTCCAAAAGCAGGACATGGAACATGGACAGAGGCCCACTGGAGCACCAAACAGGAAAACCAAGAAGCACTGACCCAGACACAAAGTGTAGCATGGGGAGGAAAAACGGAAATAAATAAGGAAACCACGAATACGGCCCAAGGAGCAGCCGGGAAGTAACGTACACGACCAACTACAAAATGTGTAGAGGAGCGCGTACATACCTGAGGGACCTTACGGACAGCAGGGTTAACTTGAGGTTCTTGAGAAGATCTCTCCCTCGGCTATATGAGGGTGCAGTCGGGCACCGAAGATAGGCAAGGAAAGTGTCCAGACAGGGAAAAGACCCAGAAGTCTACAACGAAAACAAAAGAACCGAAATGAGGGGCAGAGCCCCACCGGACAACAAAGAACAAAAGATGGACAAAGGGCACTAAAGACGCACGCAAGGTGACCAAACACCACACCAAACACCCCAGTTAGGAGCCATCGACGCAATCCCAACAAGCAGGGAAGAGTAAACAAGGATGGAACAGTGAACAAGGGTGGCAGAAGGAGTAGAGTATCCCAAGAAGATACTCGCTCCAAACGCATGAGCCTAACGAGAGAAGCAAAGCTCCACAAAGTACCAACGACGGAACTCAAACCGTTCCGCACGTCCAACAAAAAGTCCTGCCAACCTGTGGGGAACTGAGGCGGCGCCCAAGCAAAAAACCAGCAGAGTAGCGAATAATAACTAGTCTACTGGCAAGTGTGGTCTAGAACAGACATTCAAGACACCGTACCAACACTCAGTGCGCCCAGCCCGCACCATTGCCCGCCAACGATCACCCACAACTACTGTATATGCAACAAAAGATAAGTAGTCCCTGAGTGTGTGTGTTAATTGACCAATCTCCATGAAACAATAGAAACTGGGATAGTGGCACACGCCACCTGTGCGGCAAAGTAACAGGCCTGGTGATGTGCGGAACCAATTACCCCGTAACGTGGTGGTGGGGCCCCACTATTGGTGCAAGGGCGGGTTGGACATGTAAGTGAGTGGGAATGTATGATAATCTTGTTTGAGGAGCTGTTCACTGGAGACAGTTAAGCAAATCCCAGCTGTGTCTGGGTACAAGTGACAGGATGAACAACCCAGCAGGTATTCCTCCTATCGAGGAGTGTTGTACATGCTGCTATGGCAGTGTGTCTACTCACAAGATGAGTGGCGCTGCCCAATAAACTCGCCCCTTGGAGCAAAATTTAATTTAAATTAGTAGCTGCCTCGCACGGGCCAAGAGGCCCTCCGCAGGGCCGTTGTATTTATGTCCGAATGCAGGTACGCACAAGGGGACACAGGAGGTAGTGAACACCCAAAGGACCCAGACTTTTTTTTTTTTTTTTTGAGATATATACAAGAGTTGTTACATTCTTGTACAGCCACTAGTACGCGTAGCGTTTCGGGCAAGTCCTTAATCCTATGGTCCCTGGAATACGATCCCCCTGCCGCGAAGAATCGTTTTTTCATCCAAGTACACATTTTACTGTTGCGTTAAACAGAGGCTACAGTTAAGGAATTGCACCCAGTAAATCCTCCCCGGCCAGGATACGAACCCATGACATAGCGCTCGCGGAACGCCAGGCGAGTGTCTTACCACTACACCACGGAGACTGCTGACTTAAAAAGAACCCGAGTAATGGCAGAGGGAAAGGAAGCAAAAAGCTCCAAAATGCCATGTGGAGGAGGCAGACGCCACCCACAGGAGCAAACAAGAAGACAGAGCCCAGAAGGCTCAGGAAACTGCGCAACCGTCAACTGACAGGGGAGGCATGGCCCAAGAGCCAGAGCTCAACCCCCGCAAGCACTACTAGGCAAGCACCCCACCACAAGTGAGAACCAGCACTAGGCCGACAGAAGCGCCAGACAAGACAACCTCACCTGCAGAGCAGACACACACGACCGTGCCACAACACAGGCGAGCCAAGTAACATACCAGGAGCAGCGCTAAAGGTGTGCCCAAAAGCCATGCATACTCGAGGCAGTAGGCACAGTATGTACCCTTACCTGAATAAAATGCGAGGTCGAAGGAGAATACGGCCAGAGGTGTGCGCCCTGCAGAAGACGAAACAGGACAAAAGGAGAACAAAGTGACATCCCCGACATAAGTCCAAAACACGCTCAGCATCCAGAGGGCCACGACCGGAGGGAGAAACGAGCAAGAAGCCGTAGAAAACCACGAGAAATGGCGCGAACACACGAGCATACCGCCCGTAAACAAAAACGCACACCGCGGCCCCAGCACACGAGGTACGAAACGCACCACCCGTCCACCGGGAGGCGTGGCTCGTACACCAGGCGGACACACAAATTGTACACACAACGCACAGACATCGTACAAACACCAGGAAGGTGTGCTGAACGAAGACAAAGAACGCCGAAACTGGAAGTAGAGACGACGCAAAAACAAAACAAGGCGAAAACGAAGCAAAAGAAAACAGATGATGGGAGGGAACCAACAAGGCCAACAAAAGACCCGATGGAAACCACATCGAAATTCAACAGACGTTCCAATAATATTGGAAGGTACGAAGAGACCTGTGAACCAACGAGAACGCTTTGCTCGAAACGAATGCCCGAAACACTTTGCGTAATAGTGGCTATAGGCATTGTATGTACTAGCCCTATCTATAAATCCATCATTCTTTGTAAAATCTCTTGGACGTACGTACCTTACCTAAATAAACATTTATGTTGATTATTTATTTAGAACCCCGACAAGCACCCCTCACCAAGGAACTTGCAGGTACAGTGCTTCCTCAGACTAACGAACCCCGCTCTATCGAATTCCCGGAAGAGCCGAACAAATTGAATTCGGTACCAAATGTTCAGTGGAACATACAAATGTTCGATTAAGTGAGGAATGTTCGTCCAAGCGGTCACCGAGGCCGAGCGTCAGAGCTGGCTGTCATCAACTATGATTCGCCAGAGTGTAAACAGTTATGTAGTGTTTTATCCCTACCCATTGTTTCTAGGGAGAAATGGTGATAAAAATTGTGATAAAATGGTGTCAGGGGGGCATTGGTGAGAGAGTTGTTGTCAGGAGGCAACACGTGCTCCCCCGCCCCCACCCTCCTTCCTCCACCTGACCACAGAGACCACTCACTCTCCTCTCGTCGTCAGATGCCAAGAGTCAATTTAATGATAATTATCGCATTATCTACACTGAAAATAGCCTTTTTATTAGAAAAATGTCATATTGGAGCAATAATAATGGTGAAAATTGTAATATATACAGTACATATTTTAAACAGTTTGAACACATTTCCTTTTCACAGAATTTTTAATACAATTGGGGTGTAGATAACAGCCGGCATTGTGTGGCCGGCCGGTCGCTCCCTGAGCCATTGGGGGGGGGGGGGGGGGGGGGGGGGTGGGAGGGGGGGGGTTGTTTCCTGGATCCCTCCCTCCCTCCTCTAACAGCCTACGTACTGTACTAATATCTATTTAGAATAAATTTTGAGGAGGCCAATAAAACAAGCACAGGTCGTGTGAACGTTAGGCCTTGGTGAGGTGGCTGGCATCATTTGTGGTGGTGTCAGGGGAGGCAGGTGGTGTCAGAGGAG